AGTCATTTTTATAGCAGTGTGAAAACACGCTAATATGCCTATCAAACGTCATAACTTAGTCTAGCCTTAAATGTGCTGAGAACACTTATATCAGCCTACAGTTGGGCAAAATCATCTAACACAAAGCCCGTTTTATAATAAAGTGTTGACTATCTCATATAATGTATTGAATACTGTACTGAAAATGAAACAGAATAGTCATTTGGGTACTTGAGGTAAGGTTTCTACTGAATGTGTATCACTTTTGCACCACTGTAAAGTAAAAAATCCTAACTGGAACCATCACAAATTGGGAACCATCTGTATTCTTCAGTCTGTGGCGGCCTTCTTTTTAAATATTATTTATTTATATATTTTAAGACGGGGTCTTGCTATGTTGCCCAGGCTAGTCTGGAACTCCTGGGCTCAAGGGATCCTTCTGCCTCAGCTTCTTGAGTAGCTGGGATTAACAGAAACAAACCACCATGCCTGGCTGTCTTCTCTCTCTCTCTCTCTCTCTCTCTCTTTTTGATACAGAGTCTTGCTCTGTTGCCTAGGCTGGAGTACAGTGGCATGATCTCAACTCACTGCAACCTCTACCTCCCAAGTTCAAGTGACTCTCATGCCTCAGCCTCCTGACTAGCTGGGATTATAGGTGTGCACCACCACTCCCATATAATTTTTGTATTTTTAGTTAGAGGTATGGTTTCACCATGTTGGCCAGGCTGGTCTCGAACTCCTGACCTCAGGTGAGCCACCTACCTTGGCTTCCCAAGGTGCTGGGATTACAAGCGTGAGCCACCGTGCCTGGCAGCAGCCTTCTCTCAGCACTCACAGACTCTCTCGGGGATCTCTTTTCTATTCCCATGACTTCAGCTAGCACCGTTTGCTGACTGCAAAAATACAATTCACCAGCCCAGATCTCCTTTCTAAATGCAATACCCATGGACATAACGATTTACTGGACATCTCCATTTAAATGAAATTCAGAAAAGAAAGCACAGGCTCAGAAGTTGAACTTGAGTTCAAAGCCTTGCTCCATCACAAGCTACAATGTATGTAGCATTGGGCAAGTTTTTGTTTGTTTTTTTTTTTTTTTTGAGATGGAGTTTCACTCTTGTTGCCCAGGCTGGAGTACAATGACATGATTTCAGTTCACCCAACTTCCACCTCCCACGTTCAAGCAATTCTGCTGCCTCAGCCTCTTGAGAAGCTGGGATTACAGGCATGCGCCACCACACCCAGCTAGTTTTGTATTTTTAGCAGAGACGGGGTTTCTCCGCGTTCGTCAGGCTGGTCTCAAACTCCAGACCTCAGGTGATCCACCTGCCTTGGCCTCCCAAAGTGCTGGGATTACAGGTATGTGTCATGAGTCACCATGCCCAGACATTTTTTTTTTTGAGATGGAGTCTCACTTTGTTGCCCGGGCTAGAGTGCAATGGTGAGATCTTGGCTCACTGCAACCTACACCTCCTGGGTTCAAGTGATTCCCCTGCCTCAGCCTCCTGAGTAACTGGGATTACAGGCACCCACCACCACACCCAGCTGATTTTTTTATTTTTAGTAGAGATGGGGTTTCACCATGTTGGCCAGGCTGGTCTTGAACTCCTGACCACAGGTGATCCACCTGCCTCAGCCTCCCAAAGTGCTGGGATTACTAATCGTGAGACACCGTGCCTGGCCAGCACTGGGACAAGTTAATTACCTCTCTGAGCCTCAGATACTAATGATGGTCCTGTCTTACCAAGGAGTTGTGAGGATTAAATGAGATACTTCACATACAGCACTTCCTACAGTGCCTGGCAATGGGTTGATAGTAGCAGATAGTAAAGAGTAGTAGTAATTAAAAGGTCCTCAGAAAGCTCAAGTCAACAGATTCAAAAGTGAATTCATGACAAACCTCAAACGTTCTCTTCGTCCTTTGTCCCAAATCTCAATAAATTGCACCACCACCAGGCCGGGCGTGGTGGCTCACACCTGTAATCCCAGCACTTTGGGAGGCGGAGATGGGTGGATCACCTGCAGTCAGGGAGATGGGTGGATCACCTGAGGTCAGGAGTTCGAGACCAGCCTGGCCAACATGGTGACATCCCATCTCTACATAAAAAAAAAAAAAAAAAAAGAAAAGAAAAAAATTTAAATCGCACCACCATCTAATCAGCCAGAAATCTGAATGTTATCCTTGTTTCTTGACCACCACTGCCCTCCCATTCTGCCAGGTTAAGTTTCCCTAATGTAAACCTTGTCGTAACCCACCTATGATCCAATGAATGTTTAAGATGTCTAGGCTTTGCACACATCCATTCATTCAATCCATAGAACAATCCCGCAAGGTAGGTGCTACTATTATTCCTATTTCGCAGATGCAGAATTCAAGGCATGGGATAGTTGAGTAATTCATCCAAGATTATATGAGTGGCAAAGCTGGCATACAAACTCAGGCAGTCTGGCATCCATCTCCATGCTAACTACTACTATGCCACATTGTTTCTATTGTAATGCATTGCACGTTGTATTGTTTGCCTTGTCTCCCCTGATAAACTGTTCTTTGAAGTCAAGAACTCTGATTCATTCGAAGCAGCAACCTCAGTGACTAGAACAGTGCCTAGCAAACAGTACATGCTTAATACGCCCAGTGAGTTAGGTAGTACCCTAGAGACAAGACAAAGGAGAGATAAATGGAAGTAGTAACAGAACAACCAGCAGGTTACATTCGGTTATATCGAGGATCAGAGGTTTCGTTTGTGGATAAAGTTTTTTTTGTTTTTTTTTTTTAATCTGAATATAATAAACAGAAGATTGAAATCAGAGTAAGTTGAGGTTGAGTTTAAGAAGGTCTACTAATACTCACTGGTACAACAGTTATGTAGGGTACGCACTATAATCCTTTTAAGGAAAGGACATATAATCCTTTTAAGGAAGTTGACAACCTCTCATAAAGAGAACTCAGAGACCATGGGGTGCAGTCAGGAACAATTTCTTTTTTTTTGAGATGGCGTCTTGCTCTGGTTGCCCAGGCTGGAGTGCAATGACGCGATCTCGGCTTACCGCAACCTCCGCCTCCTGGGTTCAAGCAATTCTCCTGCCTCAGCCTCCCCAGGAGCTGGGATTACAGGCACATGCCACTAATGCCCAGCCAATTTTTGTATTTTTAGTAGAGATGGGGTTTTACCATGTTGGTCAGGTTGGTCTCGAACTCCTGACCTCAGGTGATCCGCCCGCCTTGGCCTCCCAAAGTGCTGGGATTAACAATTTTTTTTAACTGCATTAAAACAAACAACAACAAAAACAGGCTGGTGCAATAACTCACACCTGTAATCCCAGCACTTTGGGAGGCTGAGGTGGGTGGATCACGAGGTCAGGAGTTTAAGACCAGCCTGGCCAACATGGTGATATCCCGTCTCTACTAAAAATACAAAAATTAGTCGGGCATAGTGGTACATGCCTGTAATCCCAGCTGGTCGGAAGGCTGAGGCAGGAGACTTGCTTGAAAATGGAAGGTGGAGGTTGCAGGTGGAGGTCGCACCACTGCACTCCAGCCTGGGCAACAGAGTGAGACTCCATCTCAACAAACAAACAAACAAACAAACAAACCAAATAAACAAGCCACTGCCTACTCCCACATCACTCAAATTGTGAAGGGCTCAATTCCAGTGCCATACATATCAGCTTCAGATGGAGTATCATATTGGATGTAAGAATTAAAATTTAAATTGGGGAGGCCGGGCACGGTGGCTCACGCCTGTAATCTCAGCACTTTGGGAGGCCAAGGTGGGTGGATCACCTGAGGTCAGGAGTTCAAGACCAGCTTGGCCAACATGGTGAAATCCCATCTTAAAAACAAACAAACAAACAAACAAACAAAACTTAAATTGGGGGAACAAATGTGAGCTCAAGCAGGGTTACAATTTGCCTTGGGGGTCAATTTAAGTATGTAGTCAGTTTATATTCAGCACCACCTGCTGTGCACTGCATACTGTGTGAATTACTGAATATACTAAACAGACATTGGTTTACTGTAGCAAGAAAAATGCTTGCTGTGCAGATCCTAGTAGCCCCAAGAGACGGAAATGAAAATTCCATGCCTAAATTTATCCCTTCCTATTTCATCTCTCTTTGTCCAGGCCTTTCTTCCCTTCCACCTCAGGGCTATTTCCTTAATCCTGACCCCATCTGCAAAGTTCCATCCTGTGCCACATCGGAGCATCTCTTCGGGGCACCTGGGCCCAGCAAAACAAGATTTCCTTTTTCTCCCACTGGGTATAAAACAGTGCCAACTGAGGCTCTGAGCCTCATTAGACAGATGGGGCAAGAAGTCAGGCAAAATGTTGTTTACATGTACACAGCAGCTCTGTCGTGAGCACTTGGTACCAGGACACCTCCAAAGCCTCTTCAGTGTTTTCTTTTTTCCTTATATGGCCTTCAGGAAGAGTAACTAATTACAACCTGTAAGCAGTAATTACAGATCATAAACTGTGAGCACAATAAAAATATTTTTCCTGAAAGCCAGGTTAGGAGAAATCCTGTCTAAAATGAGATGTAAAACAACAATTGAAATAAGTATTCGAACTGAATTGTCCCCAAGCACTGTGAAAAGGAAGAAAGCACAGTGTAATCTATCTTTGTAATAATGGGCGTATTATAGTAGGATCGTTTTAAGCCCATTTCCCCATCCTGCTGGGCAAGAATCGGCTCAGATAAGGAAAAGGAGCCAACCAAACTGGGGAAAAAAGAACAACAAAAAACCCCCACATCCCATCAAAAAGAACCCACCGATTATTTTGGATGCCTGGTAAACAACCTGCACCAGAGGATAAGGCTTTTCAGGCTCTCAACGACGCTTTTTTCTCTTTTCATGTGTCTGCCCTCCTCCCTTGAAACTGCGGGGTGGGGAGGTCTAAAAATAGCCAGTGAGTCACGGCAGATAATATTGTGCAGCAGTTACATAAACAGCCAGGCCGGGCGCCGGGGCCCCGGGTCGGAACGGAAAATATCTGGGTCAGGGTTGTCACACTGAATAGGGTCCCCCGGAGCCGGCCTTCGGGAGGTGCGGCCGGGAGGAGGCCTAGGCCTGCAGGCCGAGAGCAGCAGGGGCGGCCCGCGGGAGGGAGCGGAAGTCCCGGGACGGGCGCGGGCGGCTGCGCCAGCTGGGCGGGCGAGCTCTGCGCTCCCTCCCCATGGCCGGGAGCGGACCGCGGCGACGGCGGCGGCGCTGATAGGCCCCGGGCGGGGCGGGGCAGGCGGGCCCGGGCGGGGGCCTGGGGCCGAGGGGAAGATGAGCGCCCTCCTAGAGCAGAAGGAGCAGCAGGAGAGGCTGCGGGAGGCCGCGGCCTTAGGGGACATTCGGGAGGTGCAGAAACTGGTGGAGAGCGGGGTGGATGTGAACTCCCAAAATGAGGTCAACGGCTGGTAAGTGGGGAGCGGGGGAGGCCTAGAGTCAGGGCAGCCGGTCCGAGGCGTGGGGCAGTCAGCCGCGACCTGGGCTCAGCGCTGCCTCTGAACGCCAGGCTATGGCGACACCTGCCACCTCGGGCCTCCGAGATTGTGCCCTCTTGAGGCCAGCCCTGGCCCCCATGCCTCGTGCGGTCAGAAGCGCGTCCTGCCCAAATCCCGGCCCACGTGGTCCACCCGGAGCAGCGCCCACTGGGACCCTGTCGCCCTACCCGCTTCCCCCTGGCCCCCTGGCTCAGTTGGAAGAGCAGTGCTGGAGGCTATGATTCTCAGCTGCTGTGCGCTGGAGCTCACCCCAATTAGAGTGTTGAGTTAATTTGCCGTAGGTGCTTCCGAAGAACACATCTTGCAGAGCTAAAACCATAAGCAACTGAGCATATGCGAATTTTATAAACTAGCACGATTTCCTTAGCCAAGACCAGGAAAAAAAAAAAGAAACATTTGAATCACCATTCTGCTTCTCCATGGTTTCAGTGCAACCGATTTGCTGCTGCTGCTGCCTACAGTTGCCTGTTTGAGGGAAGGCTCATTTGTTTATCCTATTAAGTATTTTGCTTTATTTTCTTTCTTTTTCTTCTCTTTATTTTGAGACAGGGTCTTGCTCTGTCGCCTAGGTTGGAGTGCGGTGGCACGATCTTGGCTCACTGCAACCTCCACCTCCCCGGCTCAGGTGATCCTCCTGCCTCAGCCTCCCAAGTAGCTGGGAATACTGGCCAGTGTCACCAGCTAATTTTTTTTTTTTTTTTTTTTTTGGTATTTTTAGTAGGGATGGGGCCAGAAACTCCTGGCCTCAAGTGATCCGCCCACCTTGGACTCCCAGAGTGCTGGGATTACAGGTGTGAGCCTACCATACCCAGCCTCTTTTCTTATTACAATTTCAAATACAACATGTCATCCCAGGCTTTAGATGTGTGCCTGCAGATTGAATTCTCCCCAGTTAAATAAGGAGTCTTATCATAAGATATTGTTGGTGGTCAAAACTTAAAGTTACTGAGTGTGGTATTATTCCACACTCTTCATTTAAAATTTAAAATTTTGATTCAAGTAATGCTTAGCCAGAATATTTTGCTAGCTTAAAGTGAATTTATATATATATTTTTAAGCGGAATCATCCATTTTGGAACTGAAAGGGACAGTGCAGATAAGCTCAACCCCAGAGAATAACTTGCCCTAGGCCACATCACTATTAATATGATAGAACCGGAACAAAATTCTCTCAAAAGTCTATCTACCTGGGCGAAGCGTGGTGGCTCTTGCCTGTAATCCCAGCACTTTGGGAGGCTGAGGCAGGCGGATCACGAGATCAGGAGATCGAGACCATCCTGGCCAAGATGGTGAAACCCCATCTCTACTAAAAATATAAAAATTAGCTGGGTGTGGTGGCATGTGCCTGTAATCCCAGCTACTTGGGAGGTTGAGGCAGGAGAATCACTTTGAACCCGGGAGTTGGAGCTTGGAGTGAGCCGAGATCTTGCCACTGCACTCCAGCCTGGCGACAGAGCGAGACTCTGTCTCAAAAAAAAAAAAAGTCTGTCTACCTGGTGGGACATGGTGACTCACGCCTGTTATCCCAGCACTTTGGGAGGCTAAGACAGGAGGATCACTGGAGCCCAGAAGTTTGAGACCAGTCTGGGCAACATAGCAAGACCCCAGTCTACAAAAAGAAAAAAACCTGTCCAACTAATTTCCCTAAAGAAAACAGCCTGGATAGCTGTCCAGAAAGCCAAGAAACAGTGGATACAAGCTTTTCTGTTTTGTTTACAGGTCTTTGCAGACTTGCTGTTGTGTATGTACCTTTTCTGTGCATTGCTCTGGTACAAAGCTGTGAATTACCGTTTTGGCACTGGGAGGCAGTGTTGTGTAGAAGGAGCCTGGTCTTTCCTGCGGGTTCTTCTCCATTCCTGCCTAGCTATGGGGCTTTGCCCAAGTTGCTTAATTTTCTACTTATTCCAGAAGAGTATTGTCAGCATTTAATGGGATGAAGCATAAAATAAATAGCTAACATTTACTGAACTTGCTTTGTAGCAGAGATGGGGTTCTAAGTGATGTACCTGTGTTAGCTCGTTCACAACTACTTGGGGACGTAGTTACTGTTCTCTCCATTTACAGATGAAAAAACTGAGGCCCAGAAAGATTAAGTTATTTCTTCACTTTGCGCAATGCCCCTTCCCAAGATCATAGGATTGACAATAACTAGTGGAGCCAGAAAAAGAACCTGGCATCTGACTCCAGACTCTACCCTCCTAAATACAATGTCTGCCCCATAGCAGGTGTTTCGTAAATATCATGTGACGCTGAGGTAGCCTGAAGAGGCTTCGTGTGTGTGTGTGTGTGTGTGTGTGTGTGTGTGTGTGTGTGTGTGTATTTTTATTTTTTTTGAGACAGAGTTTTGCTCTTGTTGCCCAAGCTGGAGTGCAATGGCACAATCTCGGCTCACAGCAACCTCTGCCTCCCAGGTTCAAGCAGTTCTGCGTCAGCCTTTTGAGTAGCTGGAATTAGAGCTGTGCGCCACCATGCCCGGCTAATTTTTTGTATTTTTAGTAGAAACGGGGTTTCACCATGTTAGCCAGCCTGGTCTCAAACTCCTGACCTCAGGTGATCTGCCCACCTTGGCCTCCCAAAGTGCTGGGATCATAAGTGTGAGCCACTGCCTCAGCCTCTTACAGATTTAATTGGGAGAAGCGTCTAATAGGCCCTTCAAACTCAACATGTCCAAGATTGAATTCCAAGTTTCCCCTCATCCCTCTACCACCTCAAGCCTGCTCCTCTGAGTTCTCTTCAGCCTCTCAGGGGTGCTCAGGCCAGAACCCTTGGCGTTCTGCTTGCCTTCTGTCTTTCACAGCTGACATCCAGTCAGCCAATGTTGTGAGTTCCACCTTCAGATACAGTCAGAATCTGATTACTTCTTACTACAGCTCTGGTACAAAGCCACCATTGTTTCTCTTACCTGAATTATTGCAGTAGCCTTCTAACTAGTCTCCTTGCTCTTAAGATTATATCACAGTCTTCTTAATTAACACAGTGGTCAGAGGGATCCTGACTTAAAACATAAGTCAGATCATTTCCCTCTGCTCATAAATGGCTCCTGTATCAGTAGAAGCCTACAGGGTCCTACAATTTGTACTCCCTGTCCCCACATCTTCCCTCCTTACCTGTGTGCTCATCTCATGGGATTTGCCCTTCTGCTTACCTTTTTCCCCTGGGCTCCTTGCTTTCCCAGGAATACCAGACACAGTCCTGATTCAAGATCTTTGCATTTTGTCTTCTTACTCTCCTAAATGCCTTCCCTCCAGATGTCACATGGTTTGCTCCCTCATGACCTTCAGATTTTAGTTTAGATGTCACCTTCTTGGCAAGGCTTTTCCTGGCCCCTCAATTTAAAATTGCACAATGCCCCTCTCCACCTCTTGCATTCCCTAACGCCTTTCCTACTTTACTGTTGCTGTCACACTTCATCACCACCTAGCGTACTGCATGCTTTGCTTATTTATTTGCTGATAACTGTTTCCTCTTCTGTAAAATTGGGGGAATGTTGACAGTAGTATTTACCTCATGGGCTGTTTAGAGGATTAAATAAGTTAATACATGTAATGCCTTTAGAACAGTGTCCAACATGTAAAGCATACCTGTGTTAGCTATTGTTGTTACTATGAAGCAATGTGCTGGGTAATGGAATATAAGGTTACCCCCAAAAAACTTACACTTTTGCATTGAAAAGCAGAATGGTGACTGCTTTCAATCCTTAGTTGCTTAGTAACCATAATTTCAGCACCAATGAGTGATGCCCAGTTGATGAATGACACCCAGTGCCTCAGGTCTGAAATAGTTTCTGACACTAATAAGATATTCTGACTGCAAATGTAAAGCTTAAGGAGTTGAAGTTCAAAGATAGAGTAATTTATCAGTTAGATTGATTACTAATCATTCTGCCACATCAGTTGTAAATCAAGTGTCATGCATGACCCTTGGTTTTAAGGACCAAGGATAATGCTTCATGAAGAACTTGAAAATATTACCTGGCTGCTGCGGCTCTGAGTTATGGCTGCCCAGAGCCACAGAGCTGTGGACTGTAAATGATGATCACTAAGGTACAGGCTGTGGGGGCCATGCCATGTTGACCTAACACTGCTTTACATGGTGATAGTTTAGCAAGTTGGTTTGTCCCAGAGTCTCTCAGATCCACTGGCAGTAAATTACTTCCTTTACTCTCAAGCCATGAACAAGTGATCTATTACTACCAAGTGAGCATTTTATTTCCAAAAGGGAGCATCTTTTTCACATCCTGCTTCATTCATCCTCCTTCAACCATTATAATAGTTCACTTTTTAAGCCTGTGCCACAGACATCCACACACAAACACACTCAAAGTTGCAATTTGGCCAGAATCAAGGATAGATTGGATTCTTCTACTTCAAGCAAGGTCCACCTTATCCTTAGTTTACTTATGCAGTAATTTTTTTTTTTTTGAGGTGGAGTCTTGCTCTGTTGCCCAGGCTGGAGTGCAGTGGTATAATCTCAGCTCACTGTAACCTCTGCCTCCTGGGTTCAAGCAGTTCTCCTGCCTTAGCCTCGTAAGTAGCTGGAATTACAGACGTGCACCATCACGCTAATTTTTGTATTTTTAGTAGAGACAGGTTTCACCCTATCAGCCAGGCTGGTCTTGAACTGCTGACCTCAAGTTATCCACCTGCCTCAGCCTCCCAAAGTGTTGGGATTATAGGCGTGAGCCACTGTGCCTGGCGCATTTAGGAAATATGAATTAAGCATGTATATGTGCCAAGCAAATACATTCTTGCCTTCAGGGAAGACTCTTTTCTCCCAAACTTAAAAAGATTCTTATTTTTCCCAAATTAGCAATAATTATGTCATTGCATCATGGAGTACACCTTAAAGGAACCTGGATAATCTAATTCTAATGAACCATAGTGTAGAATATCACTCTGAGACATTAATGGAATTACTCCCAGCCAGCCAGACCTGCTAACTTTCTGTAAGTTACTAATGTTAAGCCATTAGTAAGTAAGCAAATCAGCTTTTTCCTGGAACTATATAAGCTTTCCAGATAATTATACTTCCCAGGTTAGTGACCTAACCTTCACTACTGAACATATGTTCTAATTTTCATTTCTGTATTTGGCTGTAAGAGCTCTGAAGATATTTATCTCAGTTCAATTATAGATTTGGTGAAAGAAGACATTTCAAAACACAGGGGGAAAAGTATTTTCCTTCCATAATATGCATTCAGCTTTGGCACCTAGGGATGGATTTAGTTGCTCTGAATCTTTCATTTCTGTTAAGATGGAGTTTTTGCTGGCGTGCTAATTATGTTTCTGTACAGTATTAAAATAGTAGCCCTTCAGTGTGTGCAGAATTGCTTCCTCTGTGTACAATTTTGAGTGATTAGTTTTACTTAAATGAGTTTGATATGTTAGAGCCTATTGAAGAATTTTGGATGTTGATGTATGTTTTTTAGATACCTTAGGAATTAAAGTATGTGTGCAGTGCCGTATGTTTACGCAGATGAGGATATGTTTGTAGCCTTCTGGAGAGAACTAGAGAAGCCAGCCTTTTAAAAATGGAAATTTGGAAATCTTTTGTGTGTGTTAAGTAAAGAAAAGGAGGAAAAAGAAAGTGAGCAACTGGGATTCAGACAGGAATATCTGCTGTCATAATAATAACTTAAGTGACAGAGCAAGCTGCAGATGGGAGATGGTTATTAGCCTGATCATATTGAACCTTCAGGTGGCATATGAAGTGAGTTTCCATAGTCCCTGAAAAGGAGTATAAGGAGTATAGCAATATAAAAATATGTTTCAAAGAGACTGAGGTGATCTCATGAGTGATATTGATAGAGTAATACTCTACAGTATCACTGGAGTATTACTCTATCAATATAGAGTAATAGCCAGCCAGTGAGCTTACCTTCTGGAGGCCATTGAAATGAAAACTCCTAGGATAAGTTAGTTTTCCCAAGACGCCAGAAATGAAATTTAAAAACAAAATATAAGCATATTAAATATTTTGATCATCTGCTTTGTGAAAAGTTGAGATTACCAGCCCGGTTACCTGGTTCTAGCTGAACTCTTAACAGGCTTATATATGTTATTTACTAATGTTTAGAATGTGAAATCCCAAATCACCTCTCCTCTTTTTAAATCATTCTTTTCTTTGGGACAGGACTTGTTTACACTGGGCATGCAAACGCAACCATGGTCAGGTAGTCTCTTACCTGCTAAAATCAGGAGCTGACAAAGAAATTCTTACCACAAAAGGAGAAATGCCGGTTCAGTTAACATCAAGGAGAGAAATCAGGAAGATTATGGGAGGTGAGTCTGTGTTTTGGGGGAGCTTTTGATTTCGTCAGACGCATTTAAGATTTGCGATATTAATGGCTGCATTCTTAATACTGGTCAAACAATTTTCTTTTTCTTTTTTTTTTTTTTTTTTTTTTTTTTTTTTTGAGACGGAATTTCGCTCTTGTTACCCAGGCTGGAGTGCAATGGCACGATCTTGGCTCACTGCAACCTCCGCCTCCTGGGTTCAGGCAATTCTCCTGCCTCAGCCTCCTGAGTAGCTGGGATTACAGGCACACGCCACCATGCCCAGCTAATTTTTTGTATTTTTAGTGGAGACGGGGTTTCACCATGTTGACCAGGATGGTCTCGATCTCTTGACCTCGTGATCCACCCGCCTCGGCCTCCCAAAGTGCTGGGATTACAGGCTTGAGCCACCGCGCCCGGCCAACAATTTTCTATTTCTAAAAGCAAATTACTGTGCCAAGATAGTAATTCCAGGTTGTTTCTGAGGAGGTCAGCATTGTAAGGTTTTTAAAATTATTTGTAAAATTTAAGATAATGAGAAAAATGATAATCATAAACCTAATGAAATATTATTATTATTATTATTATTATTATTTTTGAGACAGAGTTTCGCTCTTGTTACCCAGGCTGGAGTGCAATGGCGCGATCTTGGCTCACTGCAACCTCCGCCTCCTGGGTTCAGGCAATTCTTCTGCCTCAGCCTCCTGAGTAGCTGGGATTACAGGCACGCGCCACCCTGCCCAGCTAATTTTTTGTATTTTTAGTGGAGACGGGGTTTCACCATGTTGACCAGGATGGTCTCGATCTCTTGACCTCGTGATCCACCCGCCTCGGCCTCCCAAAGTGCTGGGATTACAGGCGTGAGCCACCGCGCCCGGCCTTGAAATATTATTTTTTTCTTCTGACCTGAAGAGGCAATAAACACTGACCAAAATATTTGTCATGTACCAAAAGACACTACTTCCGAAAGACACCTTTCTTTTGATAATTTTCAAAGGGCTGTGTAAATGTTCTGTTTTCTTCTTTTTAAGTGGAAGAAGATGATGACGATGATGACAACCTTCCCCAGCTGAAGAAGGAGTCAGAACTGCCCTTTATTCCCAACTATTTGGCTAACCCAGCCTTCCCTTTTATCTACACACCCACAGCAGAGGACTCAGCCCAGATGCAGAATGGGGGCCCCTCCACACCTCCTGCATCACCCCCTGCAAATGGCTCACCTCCACTGCTTCCCCCTGGGGAACCTCCCCTGTTAGGGGCATTTCCCCGGGACCATAATTCTTTGGCTCTAGTTCAGAATGGTGATGTGTCTGCCCCCTCTGCCATACTCAGAACACCAGAAAGCACAAAACCAGGTCCTGTTTGTCAGCCACCAGTGAGTCAGAGCCGCTCCCTGTTTTCTTCTGTCCCGTCCAAGCCACCAGTGTCTCTGGAGTCTCAAAATGGGACATATGCAGGACCAGCGCCAGCATTCCAGCCATTTTTCTTCACTGGAGCATTTCCATTTAATATGCAAGGTAACCCCTCATCAGCAAACAGCCTCTGCAACAGGGGAGTTGGCGTCCAGAGGGGTGGGATTTAATTAGGATTTTTTGGGTATAATTACAAACTTACAGAAAAGTTACATGGCTAGTATAAGGAACTCCCTTTACTTAGATTCACAAATTAGCTTTTGCCCTTTTACCCTGATATACTTCAGTATTCTTTCCATTATAATATCTTTCCTAAAAACAATGATATTCTCTTTTTTTTCTTTTCTTTTTTTTTTTTTTTTGAGATGTAGTTTCACCCTGTCACCAAGGCTGGAGTGCTGGAGTGCAGTGGTACAATTTTGCCTCACTGCAACCTCTGCCTCCTGGGTTCAGGCGATCCTTCTACCTCAGCCTGCCAAGTAGCTGAGATGACAGAAGCGTACCACCATACCGGCTAATTTTTTTTAATATTTTTAGTAGAGATGGGGTTTCACCATGTTGGCCAGGCTGATCTCAAACTCCTGACCTTAAGTGATCTGCCTGCCTCGGCCTCCCAAAGTGCTGGGATTATAGGCATGAACCACCACATACAGCCAGATATTTTCTTATATAACTACAGTACAAATGATCAAATTTGAGAAATGTAGCCTTGAGGTAATGCTGTTCTGCAATCTGTAGTCCATGTTTAAACTTTGTTAGTTGTCCCAACCAGTGCCTTTTGTATTCCCTTATCTACTATATGTACTGTCGGTACTATTGATATTTATCTGTACTATCTACTCCGCTGCCCCCTGCCCCCTGCCCAGGATCACACATTGCACATAGTTATCGTGTCATTTAGTTTCCTTTAATCTGGAATCTTCACCCTTTATCATTTTTTATCTTGATCTTTTTGAAGAGTCCAGGCCAATTATTTTTGTGGAATATGATTTTCTTAATTCTATCTCTACTTATTAGTTGGTATTTTACTGTAAAGAAGGGCTTTCCCTTCTCCTTCATTAATATCAGTATTGACTCGTAGATTCTTACGTTATTTAATGGGTTATAACGTGTTACTATCATTTTTTAAATATTCAAATTATCCTAGGTGTGGCCAGTGGGAGCCCCTTCAGGCTAGTTCTGCTTCCTATAGATATGCCTACCCTTTTATAAAAAAATGTATTTTATCACTTTTTGACACATCTTTATTGTTCTTGCAGTGCTGCCTTACTTTCTGGTGCAGCAAGGCGTTCCAGGCTCATAGCAGAACTTTTCCTGCTCAACCCTGGAATCAGTCATTTATCCAGGGAGCCCTGGTTCTTTTTGGTAGAGAATGGTATTTAGAACACACAGCAAACTTGCCTCTTACTTGGGCCCACCAAGAATGGTATTTAGCACCAGGATGTGGGCACTAGGTGTCCTCGTTGCTACAGGTATATCATTTCTTCAAGGCCTGCTGAGAGGACAGAGCCAGGAAAGATATCTGTCTTTCTATATGTATATCTTTTTGAGAATATTAAAAACCGCAAGTTCATCCTGATTCTTCCAGTTCCAATCAAACACCATAGGTACAACTAGTCTTACTTTTCCTTTTTCCCTGTTTTTGAGGAGTTACTACTATAGGTGCTAACGGTGACCTGGAGTGCCATAGGGAATTTATATACAGGGAACAAAGCAGAACTGCCAAATGTACATGGGTGCTTAACTCGGGCTGTCTTGGCAGCCAGGTTCAGAATAAAGGAGCAGATTGCTTAGATCCCAGACTTATGAATAATGAGCCAAGACGCCCTTCCTTATGAGGGTGTGCTACATTCAAATCAAGTTATTCTTTCGTTTTTATTAGTGGCTTGTCATTTGGCTCTTTTACTGTCTTTTCTGTAAGGAGTTTCATATTTGATAAATAACTTTAAGTTCCAGGGTAACTCACATCTTGCCCATGCCTTCTTTCCAACCTTCTTCCCCTTCCCCTGTTCATGTATAGTTTGATATCCAAACCGGTTCTTAAGTCTTTGGCTCCTTAGCTCCAGTGGCAGAAGTAAATTGTCCTTCTACGTAGTTGGAATAGCTGCCCCTGCCTTGCTCTTACTTTGTGAACCATAGCCTCAGAAGTACAGACGACAATGCAGGAAACTGCCCCAGCAGAGCCAGAACTGGGCCTGAGCAAACCCTGCTGGCTGCACTTGGTTTTCCCACCAAACAGGTCTGTTAATCATGCACACATCTTTGGCATGATTAAGTGTAAACATCTTCTGGAAAAGATCTTAAACAACATGGGCTATGCTGTGCCAGAACTATTCATTAACATTTCTCCTTTTCTTCTAGAGCTGGTACTGAAGGTGAGAATTCAGAACCCATCTCTTCGAGAAAATGATTTCATTGAAATTGAACTGGACCGACAGGAGCTCACCTACCAAGAGTTGCTCAGAGTATGTTGCTGTGAGCTGGGTGTTAATCCAGATCAAGTGGAGAAGATTAGAAAGTTACCCAATACTCTGTTAAGAAAGGTAAGAAAAGTCTGTTAAGCATGAATGGCTGCTTTTTTGCATTTGGAAAATACCTAGCTCTCTCCTTGGTTATATGAGTCATAGTTGAAGGAATAAACAGAGAATAGAAAGTGATTTTCTAAATGTAATCATTTCCTTCTACTGAGTCCATAGGACACTGGCTTTTTTTAGGCAAGTCAAGTGAGCAGTAGAGTGGAGAAGGAACAAAGAAATCTGTAACTGGTGTTTGGCTCAGTACTGTCTTACAAACTAGTTGTAAACACCATTGCATTCAGACCAGCCAACACTGGCATTTTGGAATTTGATACCAGAGAGAATTTTCTGAATTATCATTCACGTGTTCCTATTTTCAGTTTCTGTAGTGATCTGTCAGGATTAACTTAGTGCACTACTAGGTGAGCCTTGTGTTTTACAAGTGAAGAACCAAGTTAAATTACGGAGCAAATCCACATAGATGCACATGCGGTCTTCCGTGCATCTCTGGGTTTTTTGAACATCAGGCTTCTTAGGACATCTGGGGAAGTGATCTTTGCATTGCCTCTCCCTTTGAGGTATGTGCTCATGCTGTAGCAGCTACTGAGCTGTTTTTTTTTTTTTTGAGACAGAGTCTCACTCTGTTGCTCAGGTTGGAGTGAGTGGTGTGATCTTGGCTCACTGCAACCTCCACATCCCAGGTTCAAGCCATTCTTCTGCCTCAGTCTCCCGAGTAGCTGGGACTGCAGGCGCACACCACCATGCGTGGATAATTTTTGTATTTTTAGTAGAGAGAGGGTTTCACCATATTGGCCAGGCTGGTCTCGAACTCCTGAGTTAGAGATGAGGAGTGTTGGGATTGCAGGCCTGAGCCACTGTGCCCAGCCTGCTGAGCTGTTTTTAAGGGCCTCCACTTTCCAACCCACCTCATCCTGGGGCCTTAGTTACACTATCACTGACTTAGCCTGCCACAGGGATTTTTTTTCTTCTTTTTTCTTCTAGGTTTTGAAATGAGCCAAGACACTGGTATCAATACAGTGCACCAAACATAGGTAGACAGGTGGCTCCTGTTAATCTGTTTAACGTATTTTTGTTTTAGGACAAGGATGTTGCTCGACTCCAAGATTTCCAGGAGCTGGAACTGGTTCTGATGATAAGTGAAAACAATTTTCTGTTCAGGAATGCTGCATCCACACTGACTGAAAGGCCTTGCTATAACAGGAGAGCTTCAAAACTGACTTACTAATGCAGCAGGGACTTTTATCACTGAGTATTATGACAGTGTGCATCACCTCTGGGCCAAGGACAAGCCATTGATCTAAATGCCTCGGATGCCCAGGAGGGCCTCTGGTGCCACTGCGTAGTGTATACTAACATCGTTCTGCCAAGGTAGGAAGCCCCTGACCCCCAAGCAGCGGTGCCACTCTTCCAAGCCTCTTGGTGCACAATAAACCTATTGCTTGAAGCTTTGAACAGCTGAGAAGTGGTCTGGAGAGGCAGAAGCTGAAGGTTCTATATCCAGTGTGTTTTATGTACAGAACGTAAGAGAGTTGTCTAAGCAGAAGCTGAGAGAGAGCGGAGCCTATTTCTGGCCACTCCTGTTGACAGTGCACCTGAAGGGCCGGGATGCGCTTTTCTTGGTGTTGCATGCTCACAACTCTCCTGACATTGTGAACTGATGAGAGAAAACTGGGGAAAGCACAGGTACTGGACAGATGAATTCTAGTGTGACTTGTGACTGTGAGGTTTCCTAGGACATATTTATAAATGTTACTCAGGTTAAAAGTATTTAAGAATACAGTTACCTAATTGTAAATATGCTGTTAACCAAAAGAGCTTTCCCTCCCCCACTTTTTCCTTTGTAAACATTCACGACTGCTTCTCTGTCTCTGGAGTCATCTCTGCATCAACTCCCCTTTGTGGTCGCTAGAGGGCTCTCTGATGCCTTCTAAAAGAGAAACTGCTTTTTTCCCTGCCCCCTGAAGAGACAGGGTCTCACTATGTGGCCCAGGCTGGTCTCAAACTCCTGGCCGCAAGTGATCCTCTTGCCCTTGGCCTCCCAAAATGCTGGGAATACAGATGTGAGCACTGCACCCAGCCCACTTTTTTTACTCTGAAGCAATTCCAGTCGTCTGTGTGTAACTGCATCTTATGAGAAGAGCACAAATATTGCTGTTCCATGGTCTCCACTTTCATTTTCCACCACAAATGAAAAGCAATTTTTGAGACTGAATCTGTTGCTATTTTAAAGGTTATTGTGGGAAACCGAGCTAAAGGAGTTAGCATCTTTATTTTTGTATCAAAGATAAAGGTTATTTTGAAATTATTAGGATTTTTACACAATTCTGAAATCTGTTGCTTTTATAAACAAATTGTTTGAACTTACTGATCCCCGCACTACCACCACCAATTCACTTGACAAAGCCAGTATGAGTCTACCAGACTGTTCTGAAAAACAGAAACAAACACCGGATTAAACTCTTGAGTATGGCATAGGAATTTTTTAAAAGAATGCATTCAAGGATTCTTTTCCTTTCCTTCAGTGTCATTAATGTTAAAAGAAAAGTCACTGTTTTGTTGAAACAAACAGCTTAACTTCAGAAATAAGAACTAGCACACTTAGACAAACAGGAGAGCAGGGGTTCAAAGCCAGCTGTTGAAGAGCATCCCTGCTGTCTTAAGCAGCTTTTTCCCCATAGTGCCTATAGTTTCTAAAGAAACTCAACTTCCTAACTGTGTTAACTTAATTTTATTAGAACACTACAGTTGAGTGAGAACGTGCAGAAGATGTCAACGGAAGAAAATGTTGTGCTAAGATAATGGCCTCCTGCTGCTGCCTAAATGCTGAAAGGAGGTTGAGATGTTTCTCGAGGCTAACTTCATGAAATCACTGTTGAGTGACTTAATTGTATCCCACCAATTACTGCTGGTGACTTACTCTTGTACAGTGTTTGCATAGCAGAGTGAAGGTTACTTATTACCCTCTTTCTCTCAAGTGCTTTAAAGAAGAAACCTCATGTTTCTTTTTTTTCTTTTTGAGATGGAGTCTCACTCTTTTGCCCAGGGTGAAGTGCAAGTGGCATGATCTTGGCCCACTGAAACCTCCACTACCGGGTTCAAGCGATTCTCCTGCCTCAGCCTTCTCAGTAGCTGGGATTACAAGCATGTACCACCATGCCCAGCTAATTTCTGTATTTTTAGTAGAGACGAGGTTTCACCATGTTGGCCAGGCTGGTCTTGAACTCTCGGCCGCAAGCAATCCGCCTGCCTCGGCCTCCCAAAGTGCTGGGATTATGGGCGTGAGCCACTGTGCCCAGCCCCTCTCTTGTGTTTCAACCAATTGAAAGCAATTTTAACTAGATGTAGTAACCTTTTTTTTTTTTTTTTTTTTTTTTGCTTCTAAAAAAGTTACCGTTTACTGATAAAGTTAGGTCTGGCTCTATCCTAGAGGAAATAAATTCAGTATTAATTCATGTCTAAATTACTTGGGTTAAAAGTCTTTCAGCCGTCCAGATTAATTAAAGTGGAACAGTGGAGGCCCCTGGCTGGGAGATGGCCTACAGAGGAGCAGCTGTGGGGAATGTTCTGAGCTTAGAGACAGAGGTGACTTGGTGTCTCTGGTGAGAGGTGGGTCTGATGTGGCTCTGCCCTATGCTGGTCTCTCCTTTATAAAATCCTCTATGGTCAGCTGACTCCTGCATATCACAGTGGAATAAGACTGCACAGTTGCTGGTAGGTGAGTTTAAAGTCTTAATCTATGCATTCAGAGAAATATTTTTATATGCTTTGTGTAATTTATAACAAGGATTTTTTTTTAGCTTTGTTAACTGTGAATTCACCCCTCCTTCCCCACTGCATATTTAAAGCATGTGTTCACACTGTGTGTAAACATTCACGGAAGATTTTCTCTTTGTGCATTGCTGACTGTTCAAACATAACAAGTATTATTAAAATTAAATATTAACTGACCAATCCTGTACACCTTCATTTTGGCTTCCTAAACAGCACTACAGTTCTAATCATAGGGGGTTCAAATTGTTGGACAGTCCCATAGACCAGACGCCCTGGAGGAAGATGAGAAGGGCCCTCTGTCCACCTGAGCCTCCTCCATCCCCGCTCATACCCTGTCAGTAGCACCTGGAGATGGATATTTTGTGTGGCGTCTTTCCTTCCAGTTCACAGCAGTCAGCTTCATTTCCCAGGAGTAGCTGAGCCAGTTAGATGGAGGTCATCCCCTATTAACCTCATGTTTTGATTATCCTATTTACTTTACCCAACTGAGCCTCTCCTTTGGGTTGTCAGCACCTGTCAGGGCCTCAACAAGCTCAGAAGAAAACTCCCAAGACAGGAGAGGAAACACAGCCTTATACTTCCAGATCTTTAGCTGAGAAGGATGCTGAATGAGTTTGCTTTTCTGTTGGTTCAGGCCAGCTAGCACCTCACAAAGCAGACGTCAAGGCAAATTGGCCTAATAAATCAGAGAGCATAACAGAGACCTTTTCTTAGCACCAAGGAGAGGCAGAATAATTTGGGCATTTGTGCTTTCATACTTGCTTTATCACAAGGATGGAAGTCATCTTCCTTATACTCATAAACATCCTGGGCAGAAACAGCCTGCCAAAAAAATGCGATTAACCTTTAACAAATAGTCCTGCAGCACAGGCTGACCCAGAGCATATAGAAAAGCCCAATCAAAGAAGCCACCTCCATCCATATCTACTGCAAACCATTTAGGGTTGGGGAAAAAACCAGCATCACCCACAACCACTCACATCATACCAAGACAAAGATACAGGAAATGAGAGTGAGACAGAGGAGACCAGAACACTTAGGAACAAGGAGAAGAGACCCATTCCAAATAGGCCTTTGCCAGGTGGACTCTGACCTGCAGAAAATAAACTCTTTGTTGTCTTGCTCAAGAAAACAAACTTAATTCACCCCTCACATCTTATCTGCCAGCCTGGGACTGTGGGTGGCTTCTCTCTGCGCAAGAGGTAGCCTCTCGGCTTCTTTGTGCTCACACATTCAGCTTTGGCTAGATTGAGGAAAATGAATTACTTGGAGGCCTCACTGGTTATGAGAACTGTCTGGAATAGACTTTAAAATGAGCAAGGAAATAAAGCAGCATGCCCTTCTTAGTCCCTAGAGAGGGACTAAGGCATTGAGGGATGGCATGAACGTGGAGGTGTTCACAGCAGCTTTCCCAAGAGGCCTCAGGTCAGATTTCAGGGCCTTTCTTTCTCACCTTTTTATAGTATCTGCACAGCAGCACAGGAACTGCTGGCAATTACCCAGGGAATTTTGGCTGTGAAGGCAATATTTGCAGCCAAGAGCTCTTGGGTCTGAAGTTCAGGTAACTACAACCATGTACATGTGTATAAAGTCTTCCTCCTGGCCTCCTCCAAAGATCCTAATCCCCAAATGTTGTGAACAAGCACAAAAAGACTAGTGTGTACATACTGTTGACCATGTAGTTTTATTTAATCAGTGCTCTATTTTTAGTGGATTCAGGCAGCACCCCAGAGTATAGGACTAGTTCCGAGGGGTGGCCTGACCCGGCAGCAGTCTTCTGTTCCAGTAGGAAAAAGCTTTTTATTAAAAACAAGAAAAACTTTAGAAAATATGAAAAATCAGAGGGAGGACAGAGGTCATTGCATAAAATCATTATTTGAAAACAGTGCAGTTTGCAAATAACACTAGGTTGGGAATTGGGAGACCGGGGACTAGTCTAACTGCCTCAAACTAGCTGTGACCTTAGGCATGTCATTCACCTCTTGGGGCTCACTTCCTCACCTAAAGCACTTAGCATAGTTACCCTGTGAGGGACTTTACAGGTGCAAAATCTAAGATGCCCCCAGTGTTTGCCATCAAGTCCATTCTGCGGACATACTTGGTATCATTTCCTTCCTGATGAAAACCAGGAAAGGATGGGGGAAATCCCAGGAATCTGTTTTAGGCAAGTCCAGCGTCTCTGGCCATCCCGTAGAAGATGCCTCTAGCTGCAATGAGGTTGGCTGGAGCATCAAATTCAGCTACGACTCCTTTGTCCAGGACCAGGACCCTAGTCAGAAAAGAGAGAAGTGGTCAGGTTTCCATCAGCCCAGACCTGGTCACAGCATCCAATCCTGCTCTTCTGGGTACTTGCTCAAGTCCACAGTAACATGCCAACCCACCCAACACAGCTGCCACACCACATGTGCATGCTTGCAAGGCTGGTTATTTTAGCCATTCTGTTAGTTCTGGCAAGTAAAGCAGTTTCTGGGATCAAACACAAGGTCCTATTCATCTCTGCTAGTCGGGGCTCTGAAAACCTTCCCTAATGAGTCCTTCCCCTTGCCGGGGTCACAGGACTTCAGCAGGCTGTGCGCAGGAAGCCACGGGCCTGTGTGCTGGGCTCTGTGCACATCCATCTGCTTTGTGCCGACTCACAAAAGCACACGGCAGGAAACCAGCTGCAGCGAGGCTGACACTGGAATCTGGGGCTTGGGCTGCAAATCTGGCTGCTGCTGCTGCTGCTGCTGCTGCTGCTGCTGCTGCTGGGTGGGTCTCCAGCTCACAAACAGCCAGGCCTGGGCCCAGGGTTAGAATCTCCAACCAACCACTCACTGGGTGCACCTGGTACAAGGCCACTGGGCTGGCTCCACCAGGGTGCAGCGGGAGGGGAAAGCCTCTCCCCAGCCTGGAGAAGTGCTCCTTCATGGGAGGGGGCTGACTTTGTTCTATTCTCAGCCTCCTGGGCTCCAAGATGTGTCCTGGGAAGGAGTGTGTCTGTGACATCACTGCCTGGCCACTGCCCCCACCCCAGCCCTGACTCCAAAATCAAGGTCTTCAGTGGCTTTTGATTGCCCTTGGGTAAGTAAGGCCTGAATGCTCTCCCATGGTCCTCAAAGTGCAGCATAATGGGGCTTGTTCTCCACCCCCATCTTGGTTCCACTGCCTCCCTCCCATGCTCTCCAGCCTCCTGCACCCTCCTGCCTTGGGGCACGTGTTGCATCCTTTGCCTGCAATTTTCAGCTCCCTCCCTATTTCCCCACCTCCATCCCCCAACTCTTACTCATTCTTTCAGGCCTGGCTGGTGCAGCCCTTCCTTAGAGGAGAAGGTGCCCTGGCCACCCTGTGTGGATTCCCGTCCTCTGGCCTGCACACACAGGCCTTTGCTTCCATCCTGTGAACCCTATTTATACGTGATTATTAGATTAATTTCTGCCTGTCGCACTAGAATGAATGAACTCCCAACCTCCAAGGTCGATCCTAGCCTCCCACCCTAGGGCTGCTGGTGAATGAACCATTTTTGATCAGCCCTGGGAGCAGGTCCTCTCAGCCCAACCCTGTTCCTCCTCCAAACCCAGGGCTCAACACTTCTTACCCACCCTCCCTTCTCCTCCCAGTGGGGTCCTAAATGGGAGTCAGGGGTGAGGGTAGGGGAGGGATGGAACAGACAGAGGGTAGCATCAGTCATTCTCAGCTTGGCTCCCAAGACACGGCTGGCTGCATGGGGGCACTTCCAAGAGACACAAGATCTGACCCATTGCCCTGTCCACGGCACCCTCCCCACACCACCGTCATACAAGTGTTTCTTGAGTGAATGAAGGCCTGTTGGGGTATTCCCACCATACTCCTTCAAAGGAGACTTGTCCAAGCCTCCTGTCTCCTCCTCCCCTCTAGTTTCTAGGGAGCCCAGCCTGCCAGGTGAGGGCCAACTGACTTCCATGAGGCTTCTGGGTCACCCAGCCCTTTCTCCTTGACCTTTGGCACCACACCTTGACATCTGGGACAATGAGGGAGAGGTCTGCCTCAACAAGGAAGCCATAAGCTTCTGAGGGCACGGCCCTTCCCCTCATCCTTAGACAGCCTGGTGCAAGAATTAGAGCAAGGTGCTGCTGTCATTTCTCAGGATCACCTGCCATTTAAATACATTTCATTGATTTTTTTTTTTTTTTTTTTTGAGACAAGAGTCTCGTTCTGCACCTAGGCTGGAGTGCAGTGGCATGACCTTGGCTTACTGCAACCTCTGCCTCCCGGGTCCAAGTGATTCTCCTGCCTCAGCCTCTCGAGTAGCTGGGACTACAGGCGCCTGCCACCACACCAGGCTAATTTTTGTATTTTTAGTAGAGAAGGGGTTTCACCACATTGGCCAGGCTGGTCTCGAACTTCTGACTTCAAATGATCTGTGCGCCTTGGCCTTCCAAAGTGCTGGGATTACAGGTGTGAGCCACCACCAAACTCCTGACCCCAAGTTAACCACCCTTCTGGGCCTCCCAAAGTGCTGAGATCACAGGCATGAGCCACCATATCTGGCCTTCATTGACTCTTTCCAACAATGCCAAGAGGAATCATTTTTATTTGAAACAGGCTCAGAAAGGTTTTGCAAATTGCTCAGGGTCACACAGCAGCCTGGGACTCTGAGCCCTCTTACTGAGTCTACAGGTTGGAGATACCCATACCTGCATTAACTGTGTGATTTGGGGCAAGTGCTCTCCCCACAGGGCTCAGCTCCTCATGGTGCTGTCAGGGTCCCACTACCACCTGAGCTGCTGCTTCATCTATGACCGGGGTGACTGTGAGACACCAGTGAGGTGAGGGACATGCAGGCACTCTGCCAGCAGGTGCTCAGGAAGAGACGGGACTCAGCATGGAGCCTCCAGTTCCCCTTACATCACCTCACAGAGCAGGCAGGATGCGGATGGCCTGTGCACAAATACGGTGCCTGTGGAGCCCAGTGTGCCCTTCCCATGTCTTAGAAAATGACATCGTGGGGGCCGGATGTGGTGGCTCACACCTGTAATCCCAGCACTCTGGGGGCTGAGGCAGGCAGATCACTTGAGGTCAGGAGTTCAAGACCAGCCTGGCCAACATGGTGGAACCCCGTCTCTACTAAAAATACAAAAATTAGCTGGTGTAGTGGTGCATGCCTGTAATCCCAGCTACTCGAGAGGCTGAGGCAGAAGACTCGCTTGAGCCTGGAAGGCAGA